GATTGTGTAGGGCTCTCTCCCTCCCTCCCTCTCTCTCTCCCTCTCCTTTTCCCTCTCCCTCTCCCTCTCCCTCTCCCTCTCCCTCTCCCTCTCCCTCTCCCTCTCTCTCTCCCTCTCTCTCTCTCTCTCTCTCTTTCTTTCTGCCGGGCTTAGGGGTCCGCTAGGGACCCTCAGGCCTTGGACCCGCCCGACCACCCGCTGTGTTAGTGAGTGGTCTCTCTCTCTCTCTCTCTCTCTCTTCTTTCTTTCTGTCACCAGGCCTGAGCGGGCGAACCCCCGTGACGGGGACGCCCGACTGTTGGTTGGACGCTCTGCATCCGGAATGATTTTGACGAATGACAGACTTCAGACTCCATCTGTCAACCCGATCAACGCAACCGGGACCTTACAAGACGCTCGCCTACGCCCGTGAGTATTGCCACATGCCTATCTCTCTCTCTCTCTCTTTCCAGCTTGGCCTTGTTCCCTTTTGCTGCAGTCAACCATCACGCGTTCGTATGATCATGATTGTCACCCTCTGTTGCTTTGCAATGCCAAGGTTCCTATATTCCTGTTGTCTACTGAAGAACTAATTGACTAGTGTGTCTCGAGCAATGACTCAGCAACATGAAGTGGTTGAACTTTTGGCTGAGGCCTCCTCCCCAGCTGGGATTGCCACAAGGGCCTTCACCAAAAGCCTGGGCTTCTGAATTTTCACGCATCTTATTGTTTTGTACACTACCAGGCTTTCAGGTACCAGCTTTGCCAGCTATACCTCGGCGCTTGGGAGCATGTGTCGTGTAACCCATCCCCCACCGAATCGAGGTCACAGCTCTGGCGGTGTTGTCGGAAAAAACATGGTCGGGTGGCAGTCTCAAGCGATACGCGGGTGGGGGGGGGCCTTGATCCATCATCACACAGCAGCCATGACGCGTCACCTGCATCAATTTCTGAAGCAGTATCCACCAAGTCTGGGACAATTTTACTATGTCATGCCGAGGTGCGTCCCACGGCTGCTGTCGAAGCTAGCATTCGGTCTTGGCTGTACCGATGCACACGGGTCTTTGATTCAGGCTGCACTTTAAGATATGACAAGTGGTCGTCAAAGGCTCCCTTGTTCATGTACGTGCCATTGCTGATGTATACAGTCACTGCAGAAGCAGATGACAATCTAGAAGCCAAGTACACAAGATCTTACGTCCGGAGGCTCTATGCCTTGCTCCCAAGCCCGAACATGAAGCATCAGTCGCGCAGGGCATTTACGCCTGGACTTGATGGATGCTAGAACCCCGGGGCATGAAATCCAAACCTTCTTGGTGGGCAATGTAGAAGCCGTAATGATTCTAATAGGGTTTTGGTGTACATTATACTATATAGTTGCAATAAGGAACCCATTGTTTAGACTCCTATAGTAGCTGACATCAAAACTTCAAGGTCTCCGCACTTACACGCCGCGGCACGCACAGGAGTGGTTGAAGCGTGCTGCGGACACGAAGAGCGCAACTTGATCGGGCTCCTTGCGCGGCCCGTTCTAGGTACCAAGCCTTCGAGCTTTGGACATGCAATACATACATACCTACGTACATACATACGTGCATGCATGCATGCATACATACACGTACACATACACACACAGACACAGACACAGACACAGACACAGACACAGACACAGACACAGACACAGACACAGACACAGACACAGACACAGACACAGACACAGACACAGACACAAACACACACACACACACAAATATATATATATATATATATACACATGCATATGTATGTGTGTATGTATGCATGCATGCATGTGTGTATGTGAGTGAGGTAGGTAGCTAGGTAGGTAGGTAGGTAGGTAGGTAGGTAGGTAGGTAGGTAGGTAGGTAGGCAGGTAGGTAGGTAGGTAGGTAGGAATGTTCACCAACAGGCATATAAGGACGCAATGCGTACATATGCTTTGCCACCACGACGCTTACATAGTCCGAACTGTTGCCTAGTGATCCAACCTTTTCATGCCACATTTGTTGTTTTTACACAAATGAGTGGCTGCTTGTCGATGTATCTTTCAAACAGAAACCCTCACAATAGATGCCGAAATCACTACAAACCGTCAAACGCAGCCCATCCCTGACTGAGCCCACACAGTCCTGCGTGCAGTAAAGGCAATTCGCTTCAGCGATGGAGCCTGGGTGCTCCCGAACGGTAGCATGTGGCATATGCGCTCATACACATGATCTACGGCTGCGCAGCAAGCTTTTCCATCTCTGTCAGGGGACAGACTAGAATCTGCTCTTTCATCTCAGCATCCACTTCGGCGTCGTCGAGCGTGGCCCTGTCATGACTGTCCTCATGACAGAAAGATACTGCATCAGAATATATTATAGTATATTATCGCATATTACAGTGTAAGGAGCTTTGAGGTAGCACCGAAACATAAAATCTAGAAGGCAATATCCACAGAAGAGTGGGGAGCAGCCGGAGCTCCGGCTCAAGCCCTTGCAACCTGCCGTCCTTGGTACCCAGCTGTAACACCGAGGCATAGTAGAAGTCGGCCTGGGCATCTGCACCTCATGACAATACTCGCTTCTTGGACATCTCTTGTGTAAGTTTAGCGTTTAGGGAAGTTTAGGGTTTTCGTGTACGTTTAGGGTCAAGAAGCCTCGTGTGGCAGTCCACAGCACCCGAATAACGCAGTGTCTTGCAGGATACGTTTTTTACGCAGTAAAAGCTCGACCACACGTTTTACCGCTAGAATCGGCCCCACAACATGTGCTGAGTGCGTGTTTTGCACTCCTGCCATGGTGAAGCCATGCTGCGGGCACTGACTCGTCGATCTCGGTGCCCCTTTCCTCCACAAGTACGGCTGCCATCTCCACTAGACCGCATCGAGAATTAGACGGGGTATCGTCAGCATTCAAACCAAACCCCTAGGCCAGAGGTGCAGCTTGGCGATGCTTGGACCTGCAACTAACTCTTTACAGGGAGCGCAAATTGCCGAGTCTCTTATGGCTTTCTCCGCAATGAGGCAGAAGTACTCTTTCGCTCCTCATCTACAGCTACAGGCAAAAATGTCTCTCAACTAGCAACTAGTTCTCCATATATATATATATACATATATGAACCCACTCATAGTTATGAGCTCAGGCCAATTCGGGGCGAGGAAGACTGCCTTTCTTGCGCTGGCCGCGATGAAAGGGCCCCTGCGCATTCACAGCAGTCCGAGAAGCGAAAGATCTCACCGAAACCTTAAAACCCTTATATTACTCCCTTACTCAAACCCTGAATGTGATCCTTGAGTAAGGAACCCTGACAGGTGCTCGGGTTCGAGCCTGTCGACGACAGCTGCCTGTATTGGGCATCGTCGAACCCCGGTTGAGGGCTTAGGCTTAGGCGGCAGCTGCAATTAGAATCCTTCATGAATTCCGTGCGGAACCAAAAACAAAAGGTCTACATTCTTGTGCATCTCCGAGGCACCATTGACAGGGGCAGAGGAAAAGGCTGTGTCGAAAAACAGGGCGTCACCTGGTGAGATGTCCTCAAGAGGGCCGAATGAGTTTATGCCGCTCTACGCGTAATCAGCGTGAGAACGTGTATGCCCACGTGGCTTTTGTGCCAGCTGTTTCAAAAGTTTTTGCCCAACAGCGTGAGCTCTGGAGTCTTTAGCCGAAATGAGGTTTGGGGTAGAGGAGGGGCAAGGCCTGGGGCAGGTTCTTTGGTGGGTTCCGGAAAGCGGTTCCGGGGGTGAGTTCCGGGTTTCGGGGGCAGGTTCCGGAGCATGTTCCGAAGCGGGTGACAGGTTCGCTCCGGCTTGAGTGGTTCCAGGGCAGATCTGTTTCTTCTCATTGCGTCCAAGCTCCACGTGTTTCCGTGAGCCTTGCAAATCGTGTGCAAGTGGCCCGAAAATCGTACTGAATGCTTTCATTCGGTTTGCAGGGCAGCAAAAACGCATTTTTCAAGGCTTGGAACATGCACTTAAAGCTGTTTCAGCTTTGCTGGTGTTCCTGGCACCAGTCTCCGAATCCAACTCGAGCTCTCGAAGCCTTCGACCAAACCCAAATGCATTTTCCAAGGTCTGCTAAACACATTTGGCTCTGGTTTCAACAATTCTGGAGCTCAATGCTGGTCCTACACCCCCGAAAATGCAGCCACCCAGAAAGTGCTCGAATCAGTTCCCGGAGCTCCGACCAAGCCCAGATGCATTTTCCAAGGCCTGCGAAACACATTCGGCCCTAGTTTCGGCAAAACTGCCGTTCAACGCCGTCCCCACACCCGAACATTCTGTAAGTTGTGTGGATTCAGCAATCCCAAATGCATTTTCCGACGCCTGTTAAATGCGTGGTTTCGGCAGATCTTGTGTTCAATGC